CTTCAACCAATGAGACGAGTTTCACACAAAGAACAAAACTATTAAAACTCACACAAAGTTCAAAACAGACTTCATAAACACAATAATATAAACCTTAGATTAGAACAATAAGCTTATTTAAGGAACTTTAATACTAAGGTTCCTATTTTTTACCATGATTACTTTTGTTTTGTGTGTGAGAAAACACCATAATTAATTTGATACATAATTTCCTTTCTCTAATGCGCAAGCGTAAGTGTACTTATGCTTCACTTTAATTTTTTTATGCTAAAAAAATGACTTCGACTTTTTTATATTTCTTGTGGCACTGATAAACAACCTTATAGGGTCACCAAGAATCTAAATGTATACACACTTAGATATTATTTAGGCACGATAATATTAATTTTGATGTGAATCAAAGTTCAATGTATAATATCGGGATAGTGTTTTTTCTAACTTTATCAACCAAAAAGTCTATGAGATGTTCAATGATTAGAGCTCATCCATATAACCTCAAATAATAGAATTTAAATTCTCTCGAAAATATTTGTAAAATAACAATTAATATCATTTTAATGAATAGAAATATCATTTTTTTCAATCAACTTTTAATCGAGTCTCATCATGAATTATAAAGTTTCTTTTCTTTTCATACTAAGTACTCAATTGATGTGAACACTGAAAATACTACACATATCAAACCTTTCTTCATTATTTTATAGAATTAAAAGTTGATACAAGATAAACCCCACTAGGTTTATGTTTATTTTTCTTAACTTGCGTCACGAGGTTGTCTTAAGTCCTCTTAAATTATTGAAAAGACAGCGTTATTTAAATCATACAGGCACCAATATAAAGTAAATTTAACACACTTGAACTTTAGGCTAGCAAACAAAACATAAATTTGTCCTTGAATTTCCCTGTAATCATCGTCCCCTTGATTTTAACTTCAATCCTCAATGTAATAAAAAAACAAAAACATAACAAGTCCAAAACAAGTATGCATGCTTAAGGTTACATATACCTACACAAGCAACAAGTCAAGGGAGATTAACAAGGAAAGAAGTTTTACCTAAAAGGGAGGAACAACTAATTAGAGAAATGGATATGACGATAAAGAATGAAGAGAACAAGAGAATGAACTGCATGTACATGGCAGATAATGATTTTCAAGTAACTGCCAAAAGACGTCTAAGGGGGCCTGTGCTTACTTCTGAGGAAAACCAAGGTCAGAAGCAACAAGTTTGTCAAAATTCTATTACCAACACCACAAAGAGAAGTTCAAGATTTCGGGGTGTCAGCAGGTGGTAAAGAATAAACTCTCTTGCTCTATAGTTCTAAAAAGTTTATTAAGCATCAACATAAACTCTTATTTCTCATTTATTAATCCAAAGTTGAATATAACCAGACATAGATGGACGGGTAGATATGAAGCTCACTTATGGGACAAGCTTTCTTGGAACATAACCCAAAAAAAGAAAGGGAAGCAAGGTGGGGTTACTTCTCATTAGGTTGTTAATGTCATATATAAATACTTTGAAAACAATAGTGTATCATAGAACAGCAATAATTTGTTCAAGTTTTGCGATACAGTAGCACTACTATAACATTTGTTTATCCATTCTAACTTAGAAGTATGTTTTCATGTTCAAATTTTGCCTTTGGAATGTTTGGCTGGAATTGGATACTGTGACCAACAGTTTATCTTGGTAAGTACCTTAATTATAAGATTTGCTTTTATCACTGTTAATTACTTAGACAAAGACAAAATATCTTCCTAATATAACAGGGGCTTACGATGATGAAATATCAGCAGCCAGAGCATATGATTTAGCTGCACTAAAGTACTGGGGAACATTGACAGTCACCAATTTTCCTGTATGATGATATTTATTTACCTAAATAGTATGGCACAAGTCTTTTACTTGATCCTTATATGCAGACTATTCAAGTTCTTTATACTTCTAACAGGTTGTAGAGTATGAAGAACAAGTAGAAATAATGCAAACTATGACAAAAGAAGAGTACTTGGCCACTTTAAGAAGGTAAGAATAGAGACTTTAATCATGTCTTTGTTCCCAATGGTGCCGGGACTTTCAATCCATCTCAGGAAAGTACATTTGAACTATGTAACACTAACACTTCAGATTGAAGTCGTGTCTAGTGTCCCCGACACCAATACATGTAATTACATCCAGTTATTTCAAACTTTCACAAATTATTATCAGTTTCAATGTGTAAGTGGCGTGTCAATTTATGTGGACTTTGAAAGCTTGAATCCTAATAGTAGTGTTTACTGTTGACATCACATAGGCGTCCCTAATATCAGTTTAGTAGGCATTATCCCAGCTTCTTCACCCTTATGTGACTCATTTTATCATACAGAAAGAGCAGCGGCTTTTCAAGAGGGGCATCAAAGTATAGGGGTGTTGCAAGGTGATACAGGTTATGATTGGATGTATAGGCATTTTGAGTTGTTGTAGATGAAGATACTTACTAAAATAGTTGGTAAATTGCAGGCACCACCACAATGGTAGATGGGAAGCACGAATCGGAAGGGTTTTTGGAAACAAGTATCTTTACCTTGGCACCTACAGTAAGTTGAATCTCCATAGCCCATCACAGGGCTACAGATAATGCAAACATGCACAAACATAGATTATGGATAAGGTTTAGTCATTTCATTAACTTAGAACATCTAATCAACCAAATCTATGTACCTTCCCCAACATAGGTACCCAAGAGGAAGCTGCTCGTGCTTATGACATAGCAGCCATTGAGTACAGAGGGAGTCATGCTATAACCAACTTTGACTTGAGTACTTACATGAGATGGTTAAAATCTTCAGCAGGAAATATCTCAGAAACAAAACTCGAAAAGCTGGAAATACCAGAGTCTCAGACAGTGGCATCCCAATCTAACTGTTTTCCAATTAACGGATCAAAATCCTTGGCCATCCAGAGCAGTACTTATAACTCAGATTATCTGAATTCCCCTCAAAAGTATGAAGTTTTTGACAATAAAAAATACCAAATGTCCAGCCCTAGGTCATGTTCTTCTCCCACTGCACTTGGGCTGCTTTTCCGCTCTACAGTATTTAGAGAATTAGTGAAAAAGAATTCAAACATATCTGGAGATGAAACTGATGGGGAAGACACAAATGATCGACAGCCAAAGACGGCAAGTGACAATGACGATGAGTTGGATGGGATCTTCTGTGATGGAATTGGGGATATCCCATTTCTGAAACCCCAATAGACAACTTAGAAATGCAAGAATGAAACATAAATTTGATATTTTGAAATGGCTAGATAGAGAAGTGTCGTCCTTCGAAGCCAAGGTGAACAAGTGCTACAGAATTCACAGCATCATAACTGAAGGAAACAAGCAGAACAATAATTTTGAATTCCTCCTTTGTAACATTGAATTACTTATATGCAAAGATCCCATGACTTAGTTTCCGACTTGAAAATAAAAATCCATTTACTTAAAATAATATGTTTGACTTCCCTAAAATATATACATGCCACCATAATTAACAGGATCTAGTAAGACAAAAAGGCACCCATAGCTAATGTATAACTAAACCCTTTGATTTGACCACATGTTTTAGTGCTAACAAATTATGTATGACTGTGCATATTTGCAACCAACCAGTAATACATAGTAAGGTTTCTATTTTGATTCAAAATTCATTCCTGCAGCGTTTCTATCTTAAGACATCGGAGGTATAGATTTAGGCCTACCTGGCTACCTCTACCCAAAAGCTAGCTTAAGAGGTCAAGATTACTCAAACCTTATAAAGACTACTTTGGGTGCATCTCTAGTTGAACTAAAAAAGGTTAACCTCATACCAGTTTCCATTCTGAAGTGTCATATGGAGGATTAATTATGTTTTTTCACCCCCCAAAATAAAAAATAAGTTGTTTTTAATGAACTATTGAGCAGTCTTCAATATTTCCACTGATAATAAAAAAAACAACAGGATTAAATGAAGATCAACTTTTGTATTTTCAATATCAGGGAGAACAAATTCTGTCATGCATGGTATCCAGGTTGACATGTTAACAGATGCAATCATACAATAAAAACTTTTCATACCAAAATAGGAATTCAGAAGAAACTGTCTGTATGTTTTCACCTATGGCACATAAACCTAGTAGAACATTTTTCTAACACTTAACACTTAGAGGTACAAAAGCAAGCCTTCGACATGAAAATGCTGAAGCAATGAGTTGGACCACTCGTGATTTTTGCATTGGCAGAACAGAATTATATTATTCAATTTGAATTTAACTTCAACCTCCAAGCTAGGAGGTGCAAAAATCTGGTAATTGATCACTAGACAGCAAATATAGTCATTTCTAAGCTGCAAGACAAGCTTGTCGTTTGTTAAAGCATCAGAGTTGCTACACATTTCTTTGTTGCTTATGCAAAATTAATGAACCTTAAAATGTTTGAAAATCAAAAGCATAGATGATGCAAGCCACTGCGAGCCTGCAACAGTTTTGGTTTTAATTTATACTCTGTTAGTTGCTTTCATCCATAGACAACTACAACAAGATATATTGACAATCTAGGCAGAGGGTGCACTAGTTTGGGTTTGTTTAGAATTTGACTTATATCATGACTAAAGGATTTAGTGAAACCATAATTCATATTTTGTTGATGACAAAAGCTTCTGATGACTGTTTTAAGATCCAATTGTCTATCATTTTCTTTTCTATTTCTCTTATGTGTTTACAGATTTAAAGCTATGAATTCCAATCTACTTGTGTTCTGCTAACAATATTCATGCCACATAGAAATGATAAACTTGAGTCATCATACTGAAAAGGTGATAAATCCCTAAAAAAAAAACTGATTACAAAGAACAACCATAGTAGGAAAACAGCATGTTGAACAGGAGTTGATCATTCCAGCAATTTAAATATCTAGCCTATCAGCATACCTCTTGTATAATGATACACGTTGTGCTTTCTTAAAATCAGACAAACTTCTGTCCTGTTGTGAGAGCATCAAAATTGCTTAGTTTTATTTCTGAAAATTTTATGCCGTTTTGCATAAACATAAGAAAGAGCAATGAAGGCTGCGACAGAAGTTGAGACTGAAACCCAGGGAAAGGGAGGATCCTTAAAGCATGTGAGTGATGCCTCAATTTCTTGAGAGGCATGATACACGATGGAGTGAATGGCATAAAGATCATGATCAGAAGACCTCGCGTAAAACAGAGCCATCTCGTAATCCAGATGCGACATTGCAGACACCGCCTTGTTAAGCTTGTACTTGAAAAGGTTCCATCTCTGAACAAACTCATCATGCTGCTTCTGCTTGAGCATATTCCTGTCCCCGCCATGCGATTCTAATGACTCCAGAACATCAAAAGCACTCGATATACTGTAATTCAACGTTGTCAATAGAATATTTCTCCTTGCAGCATCCTTTTGCACAAAAGACAACGACGACAACTCCGAGAACGGCCCAAACGGAGTCTGCCCCATACTCCAAGTATAATCTACCAAAGTACTATTATGCAAAGGACTCCAAGACAAATGTGTCGGCGAAACCCCCCACATACTCTGCAGAACCGATCCAACAATAGGCCTCTCAAGTTCCCTCGTATGCACAAACACATGCCGTCCATTACAGCTATAATCACTCACCGTCTGTGTATTCCTAGTCCTAACTGCAATCACCATATCCTTAAAAGCAACACTCTGATGATACCGATCCAACATCAACAATGAAGTATAATCCAAGTCAAAAACATACACCGGAATAACCCTCCCGAAATCTTCCTCCGGTATCCCACCAATTTTCCTCATCTCATCCGCAGAATCAGACAAAATCTGATGCAACCTCTTAGAATCCAAATACTCACTCACAATCAAAGTATAATTATCAAACAAAAACCTCGAAGTATAGGAATTCGTCGACCTAGAAACGGCAAAAGAACAAATCGGACACTCATCATACTTAACATCAAAAACCTTAAAACTCAAACTCTGCTCCCCTAACAAAATCTTCCCATTACTCTCATCTCTAAAACTTTCCTCAATCAATTTCCAATCCAACCCCTTCCTATCCTTCTCCTCACCGGAATAAACATGAATAAACTGAACAACAAGCTTATTCTCAAAATGAACAGGAATTCTCAAACTAGGAGCAAGAAAAACCTGATAAGCACTCCAAACAAGGGAAGCAAGATCCGCCGCCAAAGCTCGTTGCGACTTCGGTCCACCATGCAGTGTCGCAAACGGATGAAACTCGCCTTTCGGAATAAGTCCGTCCCCGGAGACGGCCGGACCGTAATCAACATGACCGGCGGAGAGATCGATCCAGAAGTAACGTTCGGAGGAAGTCCAGAACGTTCCGAGGCAGTTGGTGAAACCGGGGGAGGAGTTATCGGATGCGGTGGAGGTGTAGGTGTAAGCGTAGGGTTTAACGGAGTTTGAGATAGGATCGGTTTTAGGTTTGGGGAGGTTGATTAGGTAAAGATGAAAGCCTTCAGGTTTGGGGGAGATGGAATTGAAATGTTTGGAGATGATTTTGTCGACGGAGGAATGGGGGAAGGGGAGGAGCGAGGTTCGGAGTGGAGTTGGTGTGGTTTGGAAGAGGTTGGTTAGGGTTTGAGAAATGGATTGGGAGAGGGTTTGGGTTTGGGAGGTGCTGACGTGGAGGTGGAGAGTGTGGTGGAGAGAGAGAGGGTGGGAATGGGAATGGGAGAGGGGAGAGAAAGGGGTGATGACGTGGAAGGGGGAAGGGAGAGGAGAGAGAAAGGTGGAGAGGAGAGATTGAGTGTTTGGGGGGAAATCGCCGATGAGGTGAATGGTGAGAGCGATTGGGATTGGGGAGAGGGAGAGTGAGAGGGAGGGGAGATGGGAGAGAGATTTTTTTATTGCGGTGGAGAGAGATTGGAAGGAGTCGGTTGTGGCTTGTGGATCGGTTCGGGATTGGGATGTTAGGTAGGAGTCTAGTCCGATGATTGGAGTGGTAGTAGCGGAGATGGTGGCGGTGGTGATCAGCGCCACCAGTGTTAGGAGAAAGATAGTGGCGGTGGCGGAGGATGACATGGTGGTGTTTATGTTTAGGGGTTTGGTGTTCGGAGCATTTGAATGTTGGATTGGGGTTTTGGGTTTGGGGGAAGTGATGATGCTGGTTAGTGGTGAACCATGTTACGATAGAACAGTAATACTGAAGTTGAACTAGTTTATTTTAACAATTTTACATAAAAATAATTTAATTTATTTAAAATAAAAAAAAACAAATTAATATATAATTTTTTATCTAATCTATTTTTTATCTAATCTATTTTTTACTTTTTTAATTAACTAATCAAATCGATTTGATTTTACTATGTTTTTTTTTTGGCAATTGGTGTTAGTGCAAGGTGATGAAATTGAGGAAGAAGAGAGAAAATGAATAAATGTTAAAAGTTGTCACTAATGATTGAAGGAATTGGATTGTTATAAATGTAAACCTAGTACACCTATTTATACACAAATAAGAATGTCACATAGGCCCTAATCAAAAATATATATAAATGACAAATACTAAATTACCCTCTAATACCATCCCGTAATTTAGTAACTTATCAGAAGTTAACAACACCAATTTCATCTCTCAAACGAAGAAATTGGTCTGTTTTTATCGCCTTTGTCAGAACATCTGTCAGCTGCTTCTGAGTGCTACAGTGCAGAACTTCTAACACTCCTTTCTGCACTTGACTTCTGAGAAAGTGATACTTCGTCTCAATGTGCTTGCTTTTTCCATGTAGCACTGGATTCTTTTCAAGATTAATTGCAGACTTATTATCAATCATCAGCTTCAGAGGTTCCTCAACTTCAACCTTCAGATCATGCAGCAGATTCAGAAGTCAAACTGCTTGACACGCAGCTACAGCACCTGCAATGTATTCAGCTTCACATGTTGACAAAGCCACAACCGGCTGTTTCTTGGAACTCCAAGAAATTGGACCTCCCAGAAACTTGAACAAGTATCCAGAAGTACTTCTTCTGTCAACTCTATCTCCACACCAATTAGAATCAGAATAACTCAGAAGTTCTGATTTGATCTTTCCTCCAGAAGGAAATAACACTCCATATTTCAGAGTTTCTTTTACATACCTCAGAATCCTGACAGCAACTCGGTAATGAGACCACTTTGGTTTGCTCATGTATCTGCTGACCATTCCAACTGCATAGCAAATATCAGGTCTGGTATTACACAAATACCTCAGAGAACCAACCATCTGTTTGAAGGTTGTAGCATCCACATCCTCTCCATCAGAATCAGAATCCAACTTCTGATTCGTATCAGCAGGTGTGATAGCAACCTTGTAATTTGCTAGCTCAAATCTCTTCAGAAGCTCCAGTTCATACTTCTTCTGATGTAAGATGATTCCTTTATCAGAGTATATAAATTCCATTCCTAGAAAGAAACTCATTTTTCCAAGATCTGTCATCTCAAATGCATTCATCAGAACTTTCTTGAACTCAACTGTTTCTTGTTCAGAACTTCCTGTGAGTAATATGTCATCAACATACAAACAGACCATAATCATATTACCTTCTGAAGTATGCTGAACATAAACACCATACTCCATCTCACACTTCTAAAACCCTTATTCCTTGAAAAACGAATCAATCTTCAAATTCCAAGCTCTGGGCGCTTGCTTCAGTCCATACAGAGCTTTATTTAACCTGTATACCATCCCTTCCTGATTCTTTTTCACAAATCCAGGAGGTTATGACACATAAACTTCTTCCTGTAATGGATCGTTCAGAAATGCAGACTTCACATCCAGATGTATCAAAGGCCAATTTCTGTTTGCAGCTAAAGCAATCACCAGTCTGATTGTTTCGTGTCTAGCTACAGGCGCAAACACCTCAAAGTAATCTAGTCCAGGTTTCTGAAGAAAACCTCTGGCCACTAGTCTCGCTTTGTGTTTGCCAATTGATCCATCTGGCTTTAGCTTCTGCTTGAAAACCCATCTGACGCTGATGGCTTTCTTGCCTTTTGGAAGTTCTGTCAGCTTCCAAGTCTTGTTTCTTTCAATAGCCTGAAGTTCTTCTTTCATGGCATTCAGCCATACTTTCTTCTTGAGCGCTTCTTCAATACCCACTGGTTCAGAGTCTACTAGCATGGCACACTGAACGATTTCTCCTTCAGAATCTACTTCAGTATCATGCAACATGCTAAAATCTGCAAACCTACTTGGTATTCGTCTGATTCTCTGTGGCCTCTGATCTTGTTCTGAATTTTCTCCAGAACTTGGAACTGTGCTGACTTCTGGACTTTGTCCAGAATTATTTCCTTCAGAATTACCACCTTCAGAATTACTTCTGGAAGCTTGTTCTCCAGACCCCATGTCTTCAGAGTTTTCCCTTCCAGAATTATAATCACCACCAGATTCTGAATCATCATCAGAATCTAGATCAGAATCAGATCCACTATCAGAATCTCCCTGAGATTCTGACTCATCTTCAGAGTCTTCATCTTCTGACTCTGTCTCGTCTTCAGAACTTTCAGAAACTAACCCTGGTGTTGGCACTACACCAGAATCTGATTGAAGCTTGTTCCAATCCCATGTTTCTGACTCTTTCACAATGACGTCTCTGCTGATTTCAACTTTGTTGGTTTCTGGACAATAAAGCTTATAGGCACCTGTACTGTGGTACCCCACCAATAACATTGTTTTGCTTCTGTCATCCAGTTTTCGTCTTCTAGCATATAGAACGTGTTTGTAGCATACAGAGCCAAACACCTTCAGATGGATAACACTTTGCTTGTCTCCAGTCCATTTTTCTAAAGGAACAATTTCCTTCAGCTTGTTTGTTGGACACCTATTCAGAACATATGCTGATGTGGCAACAGCTTCTCCCCATAACATGTGAGGTAACTTCTTCTCTTTCAGCATACTTTTGGTCATATCAAGCAAATTTTTGTTTCTTCTTTCAGCAAGACCGTTGTGTTGAGGAGTATATGGAGCAGTAACCTCATGTTCTATTCCATTCTCCTCACAGAACTTCTGGAACTCTGTAGAGTTATACTCACCTCCACCATCTGTTCTCAGAATCTTCAGCTTCTGGAACTCAGTAAACACTTCATGCTTGAACTTGATGAGTGTTACCCATGTCATTCTTGTGAACTCATCCACAAAAGACACAAAATATTTGTTTCCTCCAAGTGAAGATACTGGAAATGGTCCACACACATCAGAATGTACTACTCCCAGAGCATGCTTTGCTCTGGGGGCTACTTCTGATGCAAATGGCAATCTGGGTTGCTTGCCTTTCATGCATATCTCACATGACTTCTGAGGCTTCACAATCTTCGAAATGCCATGTACGAGCTTTTTAGAACTTAGATGCCCTAAGCTTCTATAGTTCAAGTGCCCCAACCTCTTGTGCCACAGCTTACTGTCACCTTCAGCGCCTTCTACACTAAGACACTCCGCTTTAGAAGTTTCTACATTCACCTTGAATGTTCTGTTGCTTCCCTGCTCAGACTTCATAATCAACTTCTGATTAGAATCATACAACGTCAAGAGATTATCCTTCATAACCACTAAGAAACCTTTCTCAATAAGCTGACCCACACTCATCAGATTGCTTTTAATTCCAGGAACATACCAAACGTCTTTGATCAGAATGTTTCTTCCATTCTTCACTCTGACTCTAACATTTCCCATACCTTCTGCATTAAGGTACTTATCATCAGCACATCTGATCTTTGTTCTCCTTCTGGAGTCAAAGTCTATCAGCCATTGTTTGTTCCCAGTCAAGTGGTTTGAACAGCCAATGTCCATATACCACCAATCTCCTGAACAATTTCCATCAGAATCAGAAGCCATCAGTAGCACAGTGTTGTACCCCAAAATTTGCCCTCTCATGTTTCCAAAGGTCTTCCCTTACATAGTTGGTCACAAACCCTTTCCTAAGGAAAATAAAGTTTTTTGAAGGTGAACAAAGTGTCTTTCGATTGGCATCTGGGAAAAGTCTTCGATTGGGCATCCAAAATTCTTCGATCAGGCTTGGTTCACCAGTCTTCGATTGGGCATTTGGCACTCTTCGATCAGGCTCTGATTAGTAAGCTTCGATTAGGTGTTTGGAATCCTTCGATCAAGCTTGGGTCTGCAAGTCTTCGATTAAGCGTTTGGAACTCTTCGATCAAGCTTTGGTCTGCAGGTCTTCGATTGAGCGTTGGACCCTCCTTCGATCAAGTCAATATCACAATGCTTCGACTATGCACTAGATACTTCAGGCTTACCTTCGACTCACCAGGCAAGAAGCTCATTCGAAGAACATGTAAATGACTCATTCAAAGAAGCATTCAGAAGGCCCATTCGAAAGGTACACAAGAAGTCCATTCGAAGGAGGCAGTGCAAGACCCTCCGACTAGCAACACAAGACCCTTCGATTAGCATGAACAAGACCTTTCGATTGGCCTGTTAACAGTGTCTTTCGATTGAAGTTTCAATTAGTACCCTTCGAATGGTATATGGACAAATGCCCTTCGAATGGCATCTCAGTGTAGAATTTCCCTGAATTAGAACATCAGAACGAAATGATTTTCGAATGGCATTTCAGTGCAGAGTTTCTCTCAATCTAAGATGATCTGACAAAGGAAGTTCTGAACACTTCGAATCAGAACTTAGACTCATCACAAGGCCAAGGGCTGGTCGAGGTTGTCTAATAAGGAATAGATTCGAATTGGGACTTTGAAGCAGTCGAAGAGAGCAAAATCGAAGGGGTAAGTCAGTTTTTGATTTCCATCAAGTTGGAGGCCCAAAACAACTCAGAGCAAGCTGGCAGAAATGCATGATTGAATCAAATATAGCAAGTCTTTATGGAAAAATCAAATCAAATCTCTTCATCATAATGGACTAAGATTTGATACACATTTGTTGACCTAATTTCCTTGCCTATATAAACCTGCTGCTCATAAACAAATCACACACGAAAAACCCTTGCAGAAAGACGTGAAAAAACACCTACACAAACTCTGCAGAAACGGCGCCCCAACCTTGAAAAGAAAAGCTTGAAAAGTGGTGATCAGTTTTTGGTTTGGA